TTTATGGTAGGTTTAATTAAAATTCGGTTCGGAGCGATTAAATTAGATTAAATAATGCTTGATGAAACATAGATTTAGTGAATGCCCATAATTACATTTTTGCCCCTTAGTGGGCCACTTTGTCTAATCTTGATTAGGAGCTCTTGATTCATTTCCTCAACCATTTTTGTGACCAAGAAACGTAAGAGAGTGAGAGAGGTGAAAACTTAGCTTCAACAAGAGTATTGGCTTGGGAACTAGAAGGATTGAAGGTTAATTGTGCAATTGAGCTTGTATATCTTGTCATTCAAGGTCTAAGGTAGGAGAACCAACTTCTTGAGCTTGCATTTAAGTTTAATTCTTGCATGGTTCATGGAAGTTTAGAGTTTAAGACAAGAATTGGTTGAAAATGTTGAATTGAAGCTTATATCATGCATGCATGTGTATATCATGAAGTTTGAGGTTGTTTTCATTGAAATTCTTGCATGCATGTCCACATTTTTGTTATAGTCCATGAACTCACCATGTTTTGAAGTTAAATCTTGCATTTGATCTTGGTTTAGAACTTTGGAGCTTCAAGGAACCCATGCATGTGTTGAATTTGCATTGTTCTTCATGTTCTTGAAGTTTATTTGAAAATTGTATTTAATTGAACTACCTTTGGGCTTTGATTTCTCAAATTGATCTTTGAAACATGTCATATTATGAGTTTACAAGTGTTTTCCTAAAAATTAGCCCAAAAGGATCAAATTTGATGCATTGTAGTTAAGTTTTGAGCTTGAGGTTCGAATCTGGAAATTCCAGATTTTGGACTCACGCTCGAGCGGGGAACTCCACACTTGAGCATACATACTGGGTTCATGAAGTACGCTCGAGCGGGTAAAATGATGCTCGAGCGAGAATTTCGTGTATCCAGTACTTTGCTTTTGTTTACAGTCCGCTCGAGCGAGGACTTGTGTCTCACATTCGAGTGGGTATCGAGCGCCCGTCGAGCTTAAATTTCATGCATCCAGCACTTTTACTGCTTGCAGTCCGCTCGAGCGGAGTAATCCACGCTTGAGCGGATTCCTTTTGTCTGCATGTCCGCTCGAGCGTATAAGGCCACGCTCGAGCGGGACCCCTGTTTCAGCAAAATTTTGAAAAGTGTTTTAAACGCATCTTTGCATCCTCATTCCATCCTAGGCATTCCTAGGCCATGTTTTAGACTCTATAGTGAGGGTAAGAGATTGGAAACACACTAAGAGCCAATGAAATAAGTTTTGTACAATTAGAACGCGTGTTTCAAGTGTGTATCTGTTATGTGTTGGGTAGGTCACGTGCCACGTCCTGTCTGATTAATCTGCTCTGTTTGTCTGTCTCCAAGCCCATTGTAAGTAATAATTCTGTAAAGTTATGTTCAACTTAAGTATTTTCTGACTGGTATTGTATAATCTGTTTTCTGAAATGCTATCTTACGAATTATGAATGAATGTCCAATCTTCTGAAAAGTATTTATGGCACCCTTAGTTCACGTGGCCCCCGCCCGAAGGTAACAATACCGCGGCCAATCTGCATGTGGCCTTCGCCCAGGGGTAACAATACCGCAGCCAATCTGCACGTGGCCCTTGCCTAGGGGTAACAATACCATGGCTACTTGCGCGCAAGTTATGGACCTTTGTGGTCGTTGGTACCAACTATGTATGTGGGTCTCTGGACCAATCTGTTCTGATAGCTAATGGGTGTACCACGTATGATCTTATGCAAAATCTGAATATGAAAGTGTATATGAATCTGTTTCTGTTTTGAAGTCTGATTATGCTCTGATTTAAATGCTGAATTCTAACTTGTGCTGGACATCATTCATATAACCCCTTTACTCTGTTATTATTCACTGGGCTTTCGCTCACAGTTTATATTATGTATGTAGGTGAGCCGGCACATGACAAGGGCCAGAGTTGACGGCCCTCTGTACCGTTTTGTCAGCCAACCCTTGTGTCTCCCGAGTAGGTTCCGTCCGAAGTCTAACGCCAGGGCTGTTTTATTTTCATGCTAGTCTCTGTAACTGTTTGTAAAGTCAAATCTTGGGAAGTTCGCTTCTGTAAATATTTGTAAATATTGTGTATCTGGACTAGCATGTTTATATATATATATATATATAAGTAAGTTTTGAAATGTTCTGTCCCATGTACATTATCACAGCTCATTGGACCTTGTCTATTTTGTATTATTACTTCTGCAGCCCCTTATTATTTGTTAATCTGTTCAGAGGCCTTTAGTAATCCACGGATTACTGGCCGGTTACGGTGCTAAACCCATAGGAGCGGGTTTGGGTCGTAACAAGCCTCTGACTTGCTTTCAGTGTGGATAGACAGGACACATAAAGAGGAACTGTCCATAGTTAGGTGGCATACCTGGTGCATCTGGATTGAGGCAAACTCAGAGTCACCAACTAGTACAGTCGACATAGGCCTTGAAGGCCACTTCAGAAGCCTCTTCGACTTAGCCTATATATCTGGCTTATGCTTCAAGAGGGGAGCAGGTGGATCAGAGACCTACTGGCGCGTGTGTATCCTGTTACCATGCTAGAGTTAGTGCCAACACCTTCGGTTGCGAGTGGTACCTTCTTGTTCTGTAATTCTATTGCCAATGTATTAATTGACACGGGTGCATCACATTCCTTTATCTCATCTGCGTTTGCATTGGCATTGGGGTTAGAGTTGGCTCAGTTAGCATTGCCACTCTGCATAGAGTCACCGGTTGGGGGTGAGATTGTGTTAGAATAGGGATATCGGGGATGTGATATAGAGGTTGCCGGTCGTCGGCTTTCATTTTCTTTTGCTTTGCTTGATATGTTGAGTTTTGTTGTTATACTGGGTATGGATTGGTTGTCTATGTATCGGGGTGTTATAGACTGTTACCGTCAGATGGTTACTGTGTATACCTCAAGCGGTGATTGCCTTTATTTCTTGGGAGATCGGGTTGATAGGGCTTTGTTGTCGGTTTGTGTCCCGCGTGGTCGTAGCGAGCTTAGCCTATTTCTTGTTGCATTCTTGGGGAAAGAGAGTGATATAGTTCGGGTTGAGTTTCCGAGGCTAGCCTGTGAGTACCCGAATGTCTTTCCTAAGGATCTATCTAGTTTACCACCTCATCGAGAGATTGAGTTCTCTATTGACCTAGTGCCAGGCACGACACCGATTTCTATGGCTCCGTATAGGTTTGCACCAGCTGAGCTGAGTGAGTTGAAGATTCAGCTCCAAGAATTGCTAGACAAGGGTTTTATCCACGCTGGTACTTTGCCTTGGGGAGCACCGGCCCTTTTTTCCAAAAAGAAGGATGGTACATTACGACTTTGTATTGATTACCGGAAACTAAACCGGGTGACTATTAAGAACAAGTACCCATTGTCCCGTGTAGACGATCTGTTTGATTAGTTGAAGGGGTTTTCTTGCTTTTCAAAGATAGACTTGAGATCGGGTTATCACCAGTTGAGAGTGAGGGAGGAGGACATTCTGAAGACAACATTCTGTACGCGGTATGGCCACTATAAGTTCCCAGTCATGCCTTTTGGGTTGACTAATGCACCGGCCTTGTTTGTAGACCTGATGAATTGCGTTTTTCGTGACTATCTTGATTGTTTTGTGGTTATCTTTGTTGATAACATTCTGATTTATTCACCCTTTAAGGAGGAGCATGAGGAACACTTGCGAGTTGTGTTGGAGTTGCTTAGAGTCCATTAAGTATATGCTAAGTTCGGAAAGTGTGAGTTTTGGCTGAAAAAAGTGAAGTTCTTAGGCCATGTGGTATCTGAGGAAGGGCTGACTGTGGATTTCTCCAAAATAGAGACAGTGCAAGATTGGGGACAACCTAAGAACGCCTTTGAGATCCAAAGTTTCTTGGGATTGGCCAGGTATTATCGCCGTTTTGTGAAAGACTTTTCTAGTCTGGTCGCTCCATTGACCAGACTGACAAGGAAGGGAATCCAATTTGTGTGGAGTGAGACTTGTGAGAAGTCATTTCAGGAGTTGAAAATTAGACTCATTACTGTTCCAGTTTTGATTATTCCGAAGAGGGGTTTGGGTTATGTTGTATATTGTGACGCATCTCGAGAAGGTTTGGGCTGTGTCTTGATGCAGGAGAGGAAGGTAGTTACCTATGGTTCATGGCAGTTAAAGATTCACGAGAGGAACTACTATACTCATGATTTAGAGTTAGCAGCAGTGATCTTTGCCCTGAAGATCTGTAGGCATTATCTATATGGCGAGAGATTCGAGGTATTTTTGGATCATAAGAGTCTGAAGTACTTGTTTTCTCAGAAAGATCTGAATCTGAGACAGAGGAGGTGGATGGAGTTCATGGAGGGCTATGACATCGAGTTACATTATTATCTCGGGAAGGCTAATGTTATGGCCGATGCTTTGAGTCAGAAATCCTCTGGCAGTGCAGCTTGTATTGCCATCAGGGAATGGGAGATGTTGTATGCTATTAGCAAGTTTGACTTGCATCTTGGTGAGTCTGCTGAGTTGGCTACCTTGTTTACTGTAGTTGCACAGCCTACACTAGTGAGCCGAGTTATTGAGGCATAAAGGGGTAATCCGGAGGTTGAGACCATCCGAGAAAAGATTGCTAGTGGTAAGGTGGAGAGGTGTCTGAATGTGCATTATGATTCAAGTATTAGATATGTTGACTGATTTTTTGTGCCAGAGTCTTGCCGGGAGGAGGTACTCCGTGAGTTTCATCACTCACGCCTTGCGATGCATCCGGGAGGTACGAAGATGTACCATGATCTTAGCCGCCAGTTTTGGTGAAAGGGGATGAAGAGGGACGTAGCATTGTTTGTGTCAAGATGCCTTACTTGTCAGCAAGTGAAGGATGAGCACCAGAGGCTAGCGGGTTTGTTGCAATCCTTGCCTATAGCCAAGTGGAAGTGGGAGCATGTCACTATGGACTTCGTTGTGGGTCTTCCAAGGACTCAGCGGGGTAGTGATGCCATTTGGGTGATTGTGGATCGGCTGACTAAGTCAGTGCATTTTGTACCTAGGAGCATGAGTGACTCCGTAGATCATCTTGCCGACCTTTATATTCGAGATATAGTCCGACTTCATGGGGTTCCAGTGACTATTGTCTCGGATAGAGATCCACGTTTTACGGCTCAGTTATGGTAGAACCTACAGAGTGCCTTGGACACTAAGTTGACTTTTAGCACCGCCTATCATCCTCAGACTGACGGGCAGTCGGAGCGTACTATTCAGATCTTTGAGGATATGCTTCGAGGTTATGTCTTTGATTTCAAGGCGTCTTGGGAGAAACACTTGCCTTTAGCGGAGTTTGTCTGCAACAACAGTTTCCAGTCGAGTATTGGCATGGCACCATTTGAGGCCTCGTATGGCCGACCGTGTAGATCCCCAGTGTGTTGGGCTGAGGTGGGTGATGCACCTATATTAGGCCCAAAGTTGGTTCGAGAAACAACGGGGAGGATTGCTCTTATCCGTAAGAGGTTGGCTACAGCTCAAAGCCGCCAGAAAAGCTACGTCGACCGTAGGAGGAGGTTGTTATCTTTTGAGGTTGGGGATCATGTATTTCTTAAGATCTCACCTAAGTGGGGTTTGATGAGGTTTGGGAAGAGGGGGAAGTTGTCTCCGCGCTTTATTGGGCCTTTTGAGATTTTGGGGCGTATTAAGGAAGTGACATATCGGTTAGCTTTGCCGCCACCACTATCTGGAGTTCACGATGTTTTTCATATTTCTATACTTCGGAAATACGAGCCTGATCCATCACACGTGTTAGATTGGACTAAGTTAGAGGTGGACGAGAATGTCTCTTATGAGGAGAGACTAGTGAGGATCTTAGACACTCGCGATCAGGTCTTGCGTGGCAAGACAATTCCCTTGGTGAAAGTGTTATGGAGACACCACGGGGTTGATGAGGTGACTTGGGAATGTGAGGTTGAAGTCCGTGAGAAATATCCAGACCTTCTTATCGATGTTTGAGAGTTGTAATAGAAATGTTATTTTGATATTAGGATGCACATTGTATATGTTATGGAATAGAGTGAATTTCTTATGTTTAATTGGGAGGTTGTGTTATCATGCCATGATTGTGTTTCTACGGTTGTAATTGATTTTGATTTAGCGAGGTTATCCAGTTTAAATTTCGGGGACGAAATTCCTTAAGTGGGGAAGGTTGTAACGAGTTGAATTAAATTGAATTAATACTTTAATCTCAGCTGGGGATTTATTTTAAATTATTAAACTCCATTCATTTTGGACCCAACTGATTGAATCATGACCCGCTAGTAACTATGTAATATTGTTGTGGTTTTATTATTATTATTTGACTACAATAAATGAGTTGTGAATATTTATGGTGTGTACCATTAAACGAAATATATTTTGTGGTGAGAAAATATTATATTTACTTTTGTCATTAAAGATGTTGAAATGTACTTTTAGTTGATATATATATAGGTATATATGTATAGGTAGATATTTGTTTGAAACAAAAAAAAAAAAAGAAAAAAAAGAGGAAAATAGCACAGTAGTAGCCACGTGGACTTTTTCCCACCTTATCCACTACATTACCTTCTCATTTTTCTTTATTATTGAGCAGTAGTGTGCTCTCTCTCATATCTCTTGGTTCTCTCCCTCTCTCTTTCTCTCTCGGTTATCTCTCTCTCCCTCTGAAATTTTTTCTTTGGTTATTTTTATTATATAAAATCCTTGATTCATCAAAACCTGTTGGGTTTTAGACCCTAGTTCCATAGATCAAATTGTAGAGGGTTCCAAGGGCTCCGATTTAATCTGAACGAATCAAATTTTTGTCGCTAGAAATTTTTATTTTCTTGGAAGCTCTTGGATCGAGGTAGAGATTTTTCCTACACTTCTTTATGTACTTTTACTTGATTATATGGAGCTTAGAGTTATATATAATTTAATTAGAATTTTTGAAATTTTTGTGATTTATTTTCTTAAAAGAGAAATTTTGAGAAAATAAAAAGTTGATGCCCAAATTGCGAAAGTATAAACTTCGAATATGTTTGTAAGGTTATGAAAGAGCTGTGTTTTAAATTTGAACAAAACGGATTTCGAGTCGATCAGTTTTGAAATTTTTATCGGTTTGTGACCAAAAGAACATTTTTAAAGAAAACAAAGGAATTACATTTAACTTTTAGGGTTTTTGATCAAAATAGGATGTCATAGTTGAATAATGCTGGAGAATGAGTTTGGAAAGAAAATGATGTTTGTTTGGGCATTAACGGTGTTATTTTGCTTAATGTATCTGTTGGAATAAAACCGACACGGTTAGAAATAGACCTTAAGAGGTTACCGGATATGATTGTGATATGAAAACTAGTGTAGTTATTCATATTTGATGAGATGTGGAATAGATTGTATTTATCAAAAAAAATTTTGGAATTTAATTGTTTAGATATCTGTTTAGAAATATCTATTTTGAGCTATCGGTAGAGGATAACCGTGATTGTTGTAGAAAGCATGAGGCTTTGGTAAATTGAACCACATTTCTCATTTGTTGCATTGGACATTCATTCATTTCATTGGAAATCTATTTGTTTTTTAGAAATGTTTGGAAATGTACCTATTTACAAAAAGATGAATACTTGGTGAATCTGGGTAGGGGGTGTAAAACCGCGCAGTTAGGTGTCGAGCCTTCCAATTATTGGTAAAAATGACAGTGGTAGTGCATTAGGGCCTACTTGCAAACACTCACCTAGAGATTCACAGAGACAGTATTCATGTAACAGATATGGTTTAAAATGGAAATGGTTTTATATATGTTGTTACATCTCAGCATTGCATGCTTTATAAAAAGAGAGATAAACTGTTTTATCATGAGCATGGCATGAGCATACTCCTCTTTAGTCTTGTCATGGTCCATATGTTGTGTAGTATATCTCTACTAGGCTGTGACTTACGCTATAAAGGAAACCATTTCAGGTACAGGTGCTATGTCTTCCCCAAGGCACTGACTTAGGAGGACTCGAAGCTGAGGCTCCAGTTTTTTTTATGGTTATTTATTGAATGTAAGCCTAGAGTTGTATTTGCGTTGAGTTGAAACTCCATTTTGTGTAACCAAGAATGTTCTTGGATAAATTTGTAAGCCTGCAGGGTACTTATTATCTGTTTGGTTTCCATTTTATACTTGTTGTAAAATGCATGCTTGGAATTGGAACTGGGGCATTGAGATGTGAACAACATGTATTTGGCATTTGGGATTACATGGAAATGGATGTATGGAATAGTTAGCTATATATATGTGTTTGTTTATCAGGTGGGTTTGTTGTATAAATAGATATACCTTGCCCAATTTTTCGGAGCGTTACTTGTTTTGAGTCTCATATCCCTTTTTACCTATTAAATGAGGTTGCTTATCTAGATATATATACATATATATGTATGCTTTGATGTGTGTTCCATCAATTGCTCCAAACCATTTCAAGCACAAGTGCTATGCCTCCGCCAAGGCATTGACTTGGGAGGACTCAAAGTTGTGACTTTATTTTTTTTTTTTTATGGTTATTTATTGAATGTAAGCCTAGAGTTGTATTTGCGTTGAGTTGAAACTCCATTTTGTGTAACCAAGAATGTTCTTGGATAAATTTGTAAGCCTGCAGGGTACTTATTATCTGTTTGGTTTCCATTTCATACTTGTTGTAAAATGCATGCTTGGAATTGGAACTGGGGCATTGAGATGTGAACAACATGTATTTGGCATTTGGGATTACATGGATATGGATGTATGGAATAGTTAGCTATATATATGTGTTTGTTTATCAGGTGGGTTTGTTGTATAAATAGATATACCTTGCCCAATTTTTCGGAGCGTTACATGTTTTGAGTCTCATATCCCTTTTTACCTATTAAATGAGGTTGCTTATCTAGATATATATACATATATATGTATGCTTTGATGTGTGTTCTATCAATTGCTCCAATACAATCCTATTACAAAATAGTAGTGAATAAAAATATTTTTAGTCACAGATTATTAGAAATATCCTTCCAACATTAATTATATGTAACACCGAAGTTCCACTTGTAGTTAATTATTTACCTTGAAACGAGAATAATATTTGCGGTTGCGTTGAATATATAGATGCACACCATTTCTCGGTTGAGGCCTTACCCAATCAATGGACATCATTATAACAGCTTTTAATACCTTCTTGATGTATTTTGAAATAATCTCGTCGGAATGTTGAAATCTTTCTTGGACATTTCTGTTTCAAATGTCACTACCAACAATATAAAAAAATATTGCAACTTGCTCTTGAACCGAGACTTTTTATCCAGTTTCAAGGCCATGCTTTGTCTGTAACAAATCACACAATTGATAAAATACCTCTCTTTCTATTCGAAAATTTTCACATATTCTTGTCCGATTTCCTTTTTGTAATTCTACCATCCACTTTCACTTTGTTAAACTAGATGTCCTACATGATTCTTTTATCAAATAATTTGTCGCATATGTCACTACAATTGTAGCGTCTTAGCTAAGAGCATATTATTATTTTGTTGAGTTTGCGATATGCTGCCTTCATCTTTAGTATCTTCATCATCGTGATCATTATTTCATTGATCTTCAACACTGTTACTGATCTCCAAAATACTTACTCATTTAAAGGCTTAGTTACTATTACAAGAATGATTCATGATATCATTAAATTATCAACCCCCATGGTATTGTGTTTTCACCACTGGCATGTGTGTTTTTTTGTATTTATGTCGTAATTATTTTTTAAACCGTAATCCCATAAACATGTCCAAAACACTACTTCAATTCAAAAATATCATAATATTGCAAACTGACTAATAAGTGCACATGAAAGTGAACAAAAAATCCCACAGGGAAGTTGGAAAATAAAATTACCAAGGCTGCAGAAATAGAAACTGAAATATCAGTCTACATTTGCAGCACGACACAACTGACAACAAATTTAACTGTGCAAGTGAATTTTGTGCTTCTAAAATGCAAATTATTTATATTGATTTGTGGAAAAGACCAGTCACCCATTATGTGGTCATGAAAATCAGAAACACAAGGTAACCAAAACTACATGGAAAACAAGCGATGTTACTCAACAAAGTTAACCAAGATCAAAATTAATGGAATTAATGAAAGTAAATTTCAAATGTATGGTTGTAGGATGAAACCATTCTTCATTCAGTACATAGTCAAAGAAGATTAGGAAAAAAGTTACTTACAAATTGATAAAAGCTCTTAGACCTAAACATAACCAGAATTGGGTTGCCTTGCTTGGTTTCATTTTTCTAAAAACACTTTTCAGAAAATTTTACTTTCTTATTTTTCGTGTTTTTTGTTTTTACTAATTTTTTAAAAATATTTTAAGCAATTTTTTAACTTTTTAGACACACCTAACATAAATACACCTAAAAAGTAAAAAGATTGTAAAAAAAATCTTTTAAAAATTCACTAAATACCAAAAATATAAAAAAATAAAAGAAATCAGTATATTTTTTTGTATTTTTATGTATTTATTAATTTTTAAAAATATTTTTTCACAAATTTTTTACTTTTTAGATACATCTGAGTAAGGTACATCTAAAAAAGTAAAAAAAATGTTTAAAAATTTAAAAATATTCACTAAAAACAAAAAAACACGAAAATAAAAAAACTCAGTTTTCAAAAAATTTAATCCAAAAAACTCAAACCAAACGCGTTTTTTTTTTTTTTTTACAACCAACAACAACATGCAAATGTAAAGGGAAAAAAATTATACCTTCAACTTCAAACAACACCGATGGAAATTCAGTACTACAACAGATGGAAATTCAGCACAAAAAATAAATACAGCATAGCAAGTTGAAGGAAATTCAACCTTTCTCATAATAACATGAGCTGGAGAACATCTACATATATATAAAAGTCTTAACCATTCATCAACCATTCAATCATTCAACTAACATTCAACCATTCAACTAACAAAGTCTAACATATAATCAAAGTCCAA